GGAGGAATAAAACAGGTACTGAAAACCAAAAACTTTAATCAACAAGTGGCTTCAAGAACAGACATGGACATAATACTGGAATATACAGACATTTAAAGAAATGTTAAGTAGGCTAATCTTATTATGAAACAATTTAAAGATGTTTCTAATTGACTGAATGGAAAAAATCTTATTCTTAAAAAACAATTCTCTTTTATCTACTGTAATTACAATTAACAAATGAAAGTTCTATTTCAGCTTTCATGGATCAGACCACTTGGCTTGTTGCATTTCAGAAATAACTTCAGACACTATGAATTTAGTCACCTGATAGGAACTCTTGCATGGTGTATCAGCTGACTGTAGGCCTCTACTTACACAGGGCAACATAAACACATAGTCCAAGCAGAATTTGAAACTATGATTCCAGCTTTGAGTGGTCACAGACAGTACACACCTAAGAAAACTGGCAGAGATGAAAGTTAACAACAGCATAAAATATTCAGCAAATATAATAAAGCAGATTCCAGTTAACTGGGACATATTGGGATGAAAGTACTTTGCCCCATTTAAGCGGCTGCCCCAAATATAACAAGTGGCAGGGACAGTGGTTTCTGCATCACAATAATGCACCTAGCCACACATTGCTTGTTGTGCAGCAATTCCTCGCCAAGAAAAACATTCCTGTTGTCACTCAACCACTGTACTCTCTGGATCTTGCTCTGAGTGAATTTTGGGTGTTCCCTACTCTGAAAATGGGCCTCAAGGAGACATGTTTAGCAACCATGGAGGACATCAAATCAAATGTGATGGCTGAACTCCAGAAGATTCCAAAAGAAGCCTTCCACCACTGCTTGCAACAATGGCAGGATCGATGGAGCAAGTGTGTGCGCACGCAAGGGTCCTACTTTGAAGGTGATTAAGTACACATTGCCATATATCCTACCATTAGAGTGCTATACCACCATTCTGGGAACTTTTTGACTGCCCCTTGTATACAATTCTCTTTTGGGATCTGTTGTAACACAACAATGAATGATTGGCCCTAGAGCCAGTCTAGACATTGTGGAGAAGAGAAAAATCTCTTGATTTTGCTGGGAATTGAACTCAGTCATCCAGTCCACAGCCTAATCACTGAAATACCCTAGCACAGAAACTAGAAAACAAACTGAAAGTAACAAATAAGAACATAGTATTGACTGGTACATTAATAAGAAAGTCTGGGAAAAACTTATAATGCCTACTTTTGTTCACATATTTCAATATTGCTAACTATGCAAGAACCAGAAATTAATAATATTACTTAATGATTTGGTGACCAACTTCAATGCATAATTCAGAGATGTACAGATTCTACATAACCTAAAACAACAAACCTTCAATTAAAAGAAAAAGCATATTTTTTCAAGTGGTGCTATGGTCTCTCTCACCATATATCATCACACTACCGCCATGTTATTTTTCTAGACGGCATGATATTAACATATACACAGATTACGCTGACCTCCAGTGGCATGATGTTCATATCAAGTTATACAATTCTCAACTGGATCAAACTTTAAGGGAGACTAGGACATAGATGGATGACAATAATGGCATTATAGGTTTTATCTTCTCTTGTATAACTAGCATAAGGCTCATTCCAATTTCTACATAAATCTGTTAAATATAAAGACCATAAAAATAGGTAACCTCAATTATTTGAGAAAGACAGGTATAGTTATAATAAGATATGAAATTTGACAAAAAATTTCTTTCTGCAGGGGTAGACACTGTAATAATGATTCAAGAATACCTCCAACTCCAACTGTATTCTCTTCCGATATGTAATTACCTGCGATATACATAATGACAGATGAGAAAGTAGGCTAAAAATGAATGTAAATAAATGCACTTGATAATTATCACACATGAAGACTCATGTCACTAGAAATACTGATCTGTATAGCCTCAATACATGAATCACATTTATCTCACTGCCACATAATAATATTTACCTGTAGAACGTTACAGCACGATCCTTGTGAGCATCAGAACTGGTGGCCCAGTGAAACAAAGTGTAATACAGGGGACGGAATGCTGACTCGGAGAGTTTCAGTACAAGAGCAACAAGAGCATCCACTACATAACCCTCTGCTTGTGCAATGTCATCTGGTAAAACAGGTGTATCAGGGTCCTCAGCAGAGCAATCTGCTCGGAACTGCAGCGCTGATATGAAGAAGGCTCTGAACTCTGGCATTAGCTGTGTGAACTCTGAACTGGACAGCGTGGAAAAACTGTCTGACAAAACAGACAGCAGGGGACCCAAGGCTGAATACTGCCACTGTGCAAGCAGATGAGAGTAACATCGACTTACAGCTGGAGTTAACACTCGAACTGCAACTGTACTCAATAACTTCTGCCTGCGGTGCAAAAAAAAAGAAATCTTACAAGAAGAAAGACGAACTAATGCATGTGGTAAACTCCCAGTATTCCTTATCAAAGTATCTGGAATTCTCTGGCAGCCAGCAAAAATTTCAAAGAAAATTTACCAATTTTATATTATTCAAAAACATATTTGCAATGCGCGTATTTTCACCCACCATACAGTAGTTCTTCCAGCCTTTACTAGCAGTGCTACTAATCTTCCCTCACACATGTGCCACTACAGCAGAGGATAGCTTAATTTGTGGTTATGTTACAGTATACTACCTGAAATCTTTCACCCATCAATCTACCATGTCACCTAACAAGGCTCCAAGAAATAAAGCAAAAACATGTTGTTTTGACTTTGTATTGAGTTTCTGTAAGAGTTTTGCTCATGAAACATTCAACTAATGTTATTGGCACACCCCACAGGTGTTTATGTGGGGGTATCAGGAAGAGACTTGCTGGAGTGCTTCCAGTAGTGATATATACAGAGTGTCCCAGGAGGAATGTGCCAAACTTTGGGAGGGTGTTCCTTATGTTAAAGTATGCCGATATAACCCAAAACACCTATGTCCAAAGTTGAACGGTTACGGAGATAATGGCCAGAGAAGTGTCAAACTTTGACCGGGGTTACACACTTGATTACAAAATACATATTAAAAATGGCAGGAATATGTGGATTCTGTAATGTCAATAATGTACGTAACATCAGACTAACTTGTGAGTGACATGAAACCGTAAAATTGAAGTACAAAATACTCGCTCGCCATGTCATAATTGTCCTTAGGGTTTCCAAGCATTATACATGACACATGAATGGCAAGCGCTGACGTAACGTGCTGACTGCGCGTTCTGGTATAAGCCAACTACATAAGCATGGCAGGGGTGAATCATCGCACTCAAGGACAAACACAGATAAGGCCTCTCAGCTGACAGGTACAGTGCGTGGACCCGCCAGAAGACCACACTTTTCTTGGGCCATTATCTCCGTAACCGTTCAACTTTGGACATAGGTGTTTTGGGTTATATCGGCATACTTTAACATAAGGAACACCCTCCTGAAGTTTGGTCCATTCCTCCTGGGACACCTGTATATGCTGCCCAAAATATGTAAGAGCAGAAATGAACTATTTCACAGGTGGTGTGACGGAAAAATCTGCCATGACAGGTAAGATCGCAAATGCAAGAGATCATATCTCCCGTAGCGGATTTGTTTTGATCTGTGGTTTATTTAATGACACTTTAAGCAGCTCAGATTACAGTGAACTTTCAATTATTAGCAGTTGTAAAGGTAAAGCTATGCCTGTAACAGGCCTCAGAGGCCCATAAGGTTGTGAGTTGTTGAGGGTCCCACATTTTCTGTACAATCAGCTCAAAGATGGCAGCGAGGTTGTCAGCCTTACATGCCAGCCGCACTTTACCCGCAGAAAAATTCCTGGTACTCATTTCTGTTAGAGGCTGAGTTGACCCCTGGGCTATAGTGTGGCTGGAAGGATTAGGTCAATTGAAAAAATCCAATGACCTCATGTGGACTTGAACCCATGACCTTCCGGCTTATAGCACAGTGCCTCAACCAACTACGCTACCACATACCCCCATTATTAGCAGTTGTGGAGGGGAGAAGTAGCAGAACAATTAAAAAATACATAATCCAAAATCTGGAAATACCTACTATTTATACTGCATTCAATATAAAAAACACAAAGCAACAAGAAAATTGTATTTCTGATAGAAAGTAGGCTGGCACAAAAAGCAATAAAATGATAAACCAAAAAGTTGAAACAGGTGAGACGACGTACAGTCTAATGAAAGTTGTAAAGCACCACTAGTACATAATAGGAAATACATCAATATGGGAAGCAATACTCAATAACTAATGACCTCTGCAATTCTCACAGATAATCGAGTCTACAGTACATAGCATCAAAAAGTGGAATGATTAAGGAATAATGATTTGGAAATGATGTGGAAAGCAGCACTTATAACCTAATCTGAGGTAATATCCTCGAATTTTCCTGGAGGGTCTGAGGAAAAAACCAAAAAACTCACTAGGGATAGCCAGACTCTGGGTTCACATTTGCGTTGCCTCTGTGGGAACGCTTCGCGTATTCGTCGTAACCGTGGAGATTCGATGTTCTCTAGACAATGGCTCACTGTTGGGATTACAGTGCCGCTATTGTTACTTCCTATGCAACGGTCTACTATAGCGTTTCCGTAGAAGTTACTCTTCTGGATTCCCGACACGTTACAATATATATATATATAACATCTTTTCAGCTCTTGTTTTTCTGAGGTACACAAATGCATTAAGTACTTCCTGCCCAGATTACAAAACTGAAATGTGTCTAAAGCTCATCCCATGAATTTTAGTTACAGACAATACCTATAATTACAGTTATGTAGTCTTTTAGCATTTGATTCTGGCATTAGAAATAAAAAAATACATGCGCAGCACAAATGAGACTCATTCAGGTGTTCAGAATTTATCAATCTCAATTCTGTAATATGATATTCTATTTCTGAGCAATAAAAGTAAAACCCACCCACCTTAGAGCTGTGAATACACAGCGGTTTTAGACTTCACTGAAGTTCCACTTACACAAAGAGCATATGACAGACAAAATTAATTGAACCAAAGAAGTCATACGATCTCTTACCTGCTGCATCATCAGAATAGTAGGGAAAGTCTTCCCTTGTGTGTCCTGCAATACTGTCTTCCAATCCATGATTGCAGTCTGCACAAACTTCCAACAGTCTAAACGTTCCAAACACATAGCTGTGTCAGATGTCAGTCGCTGAACGATATTACGGAAAATGGTGGACGAATTGAAATCCAACCACCCACTTGACTCTTGGCCTCTTTCAAGAATGCGTCGTCCAACAGGCAGAAGTCGATGAAAAATTTCCTAGCAAGAGATATTCAGTTAAGTCTCTCATGTTGTTTCTGTCCTTTATGTTTTCCAGCAAAATTTTGTAAGCTTTCCTCATTCCCACCATGTGTGCTACCAACCAGAAGTGGTCCGAAGCTTGTTTGTAACATTGTGGCTGAATAAGACCTCTGAAAGCAAGCCCTACCTAGTTCAACAGTCACATACACACAAAATGAAGGAATTATAAGCCCCTTTTCTACTCTGAACAGTAAGCTAATAAAAAAATTGGCATCTGACAACTGAATATGGGGTACGTAGTAGCGTAGTTGGTTGACGCACTATACTACAAGCTGGAAGATCACAGGTTCATGTCCTGATGAGGTGGACTTTTTTCAATTTACCTAATCTTTCCAGCCACACTATGGCCCTGGGGTCAACTCAGTCTCTAACAGAAATAAGTACCAGGAATCTTCCCGGGAGCAAAGAGCAGCTGGCACGTAAGGCTGACAACATTAGTGCCATCTGTGAGCCAACTGTCTAAATGTGGGATCCTCAACCTCTCACAACCCTATGACCTCCATGGCCTGTTACAGGGATATCTTTACCAACTGAATATACAAACTGGTAGTTAAATTCTTACAGCACGCTTCTGGGTGCTGTCATCTCATCCTTCTTAACTTGAGAAGACAATGTTATCTGCATAGGAACATCAAAATGTTAACAATTGCATAACAAGCAATGTGTCCATATGTCCAAAAGGAGGCAACAACACAGCAAGCCACGAGCAAACCCTGGATGATATCAAGAACCTCCTCATCAAGATAGACAGGCGGCACAAAATTTGCCCCATACAAGAAGGACAACAGGAGGACGGACATGAACCTAAATAGTTTATAAATTTTAATTACTGACAATACAGGTTTTTAAATAATATCTAGAAACTTTTAAAAACTTTACAATGCCAGGAAGCTGCTGTGATTGTGAAATGTTCTACCTTATGCGTACTGTGCATTGTAGCATATAAGTGTATGTAATTTAAATCAAAACAACTTTTGTGATGTTATATTTTAGCGTCCTGTTGCACTGATTTAAGTCCATGATTTATTTAAACCGTCTTGCAGTGCATACACTCATTTATCTCCTTCTCTCCCCCGCACTACATGTTTCGGCGTAATAATGCCATCTTCAGGTGCTTACTTATCCACGCCAAACCAGTTCATTGCATGCCTTGTTCTCATATTAAAATAACTAAATTATGTATCTATCATATACATTGTCAAACGTTAAAAATATTAAAATTGTTCAGGATACCACATCGCTACGTCGCACCTCACTACGCCAGTCACGCCCATTCTCCTCTGTTGGAGCACNACACACACAAGATAGTGAAGGAGTGCTCCAACAGAGGAGAATGGGCGTGACTGGCGTAGTGAGGTGTGACGTAGCGATGTGGTATCCTGAACAATTTTAATATTTTTAACGTTTGACAATGTATATGATAGATACATAATTTAGTTATTTTAATATGAGAACAAGGCATGCAATGAACTGGTTTGGCGTGGATAAGTAAGCACCTGAAGATGGCATTATTATGCCGAAACATGTAGTGCGGGGGAGAGAAGGAGATAAATGAGTGTATGCACTGCAAGACGGTTTAAATAAATCATGAACTTTTGTGATGGTAGTTTCCAGTTTGTAATGATGTTTCCCTCTTAAGATGGTCCGTAAGGACCGAAACATGTAAGGGAGATAAGTTTTCGTGTAGTAAAAACTTATAGGTCACATTAGACAGAGAGGTTTGTATTTGTCATCATGAGGAATCTTTAACTCTACCTGTTATTGTGTAAGCAGCAAACCTGTGAGTTAACAGAGGCCAGAATATCCAGAAGGCCCATAGAAATGTATAACGGTGTCTTAATTGAGGTAATGCAGCTGCCAGTTGCGGCTGTTGTGATGGTTTCAAAAGGCTTTGAACTGCAGGGTCCGAGACAGAACTGTGTACATAACCAATGACAGCTAACTGTAAACACAGGAGGGGAGGAGAAAAAAATTTGTAAGCCTTTCTATTGATTTAATTTTTTCCAATCATTTTACTTCTGACCTCACCCCCAACAGCTGTAAGTGCTGCAAAAACAACACATATATAATTTAAAAATAAAAGGAAAAGCACAAAACTCCTGCATCTGTTACCCTTAGCCATCAACTACTAGGAGAAAATGTCAAATAATGTCAAAAACAAAGACTCAGCAGACGATCATAACAAACAAGAAACTCCATGGTTTTAGTCTGCAAGCAAACCGCCACTTGTTGGTGAGGTTAGTGCCAAC